TTGCTAGTAAGTAGAAAAATAATAATTATTCGCAAGAAAATTAAACACATCAACCGACACGGACAACAAAGTTAACCCGCGTTTCTATAGGATGAGAGCGGCTCATCGGCACCTATAACATCACTTTTTGGGAACGAAACCATAGCGCGATCTAACTCGACGCCAACACCATCTAGTTAGAAAACGGAAACTACATATTATTTACCCAAATGAATTATTTAAATTATGAATTAAAACTAAATTGTCGTTAATTTAACAGACATGTACATTATTTTTGCACTAAAAAATATGGCAAGAGCAGCATGGAACAAAACTAAGAATTACATACTTAAATCAATTACCTACAAGTGTTAGATACCAGGCGTAGAATTACCAAGCGTAAAATGTAACTTAGAACCAAAAGTTTGACTTTCCTTCATGATAGTGTAACTTTTTGTACCACCAATCTGTTTAGTAATATTGGTGTGAAACTCTACATACAATTAGTTAGATAGGACATGTAAAGTTCTCAGATTTCCTAATGCACATAAAAAATGCAAAAATTTAAAAAAAATTACAATTTTTCAAAACAATATTATGGGATTTACTGACTCGCACTATTTAATGCGGTAAACGGTTACCTGAACTTACCGCTAAATTCCCCGTTGACATATTGTTAAACAGCTGTTCCCTTGCAATCTATAATATTACTGCCCCGCTCCTTTATAAAAATAGCGTGATTATTATGTTCCCAGAGTTAAATTTTTATTTTTATTTTAACTAATAATTAACATGTCATTTTGTGCATTCAATTATTTTGTGCATTCAATTACGAAGAAAAACCTTTTAAAATCAATATTGCTTACCTCCTATAACATACGGCGTGATAATATGTAGCCTAAAGCCTTTCTTGGTTTATAAAGAATATTTTTGCTGAATTTTCAATCTATCCAGTAGTTTTGGCGTGAAGCCGTACCATACACACAGACAATCAGATAAACAGACAAAAATTCTAAAAAAGTCACTTTTTGTCATCAGTTACGTTTTCTAACAAAAACCACTTATTCTCAAAATTCTCGAAAATTCTCAATGTACAGTTTTTCTTTCGTTACTGTTTTATGATATGTATAGATTAGCTAACCTAACAACATTTTACAGTGACCATATCAATGTTAAAAATCTTTTATGTTTTAAACATATAGATTGACTTGGCAATCGCACTAAGAAATCTAATTTAATATAATATGTATTACTGTTATTTATCTTAATATATAATATATAATTATTTAATATAATATATATTACTGTATCTCACAATACATTGTGTTTTCATGCGATGGCCAAGTCAATCTATATATTTAAAACATAAAAGATTTTTAACATTAATATGGTCACTATAAAATGTGGTTATACGTCTGGGCTATACGATCAAAGTCTTTACCTTACATTTATTTGTAGTTTTAAGACGTATTATACCAAAGAATTACAATAATGAATCAAGTAGGCTTGGGTAAAGAATATCGATATATATCGCCGATTTTATAAATCTCAAAAAAAAATATTTATTTTGGAGCATCGAATTCGTATCAATTTCGATATATTTTAAAATGTTGTTTTAATCGACAAAACATTAAACCACATAAGTAGCTACAAACGCATTAACGTGCTGTTGTCGTTTTTGTTTATCGTCGTCCAATCGTCCAGTAGTACCATTTCGGGCCTTGTTTTATCACATCATGCAAAACATGACGATATATCGATATGTATTTGTCACGCGATACATATCGATAATTTTTAAAAATATCGATACGATATGTATCTATAATTTTTAAAAATATCTATACGATATGTATCGATAATTTTTAAAAATATCTATACGATATGTATCGATAATTTTTAAAAATATCGATACGATATATAAAAAAAACTCAATTGCCCATCCCTAGAATAAAGTCTGAGACATAGATTACACAACAATTAATACCAAGTGTATAGTTTTAAATTACTTCAATAATATTTGATTTCTTATTAGTAGCAGTATAGTGTAACGGTAGTATAGAGATATACTCTGTGAGTAAGGAGTAACTTTCTTTACTCATGCTGTGTAGAGCTTCGTATATTCAGAGTCGTTCGGAAGGCTCGATAGCATAATTTAGGATAAAATGTTACGTTTAAACGCTTGTGACACGATAACAACGCGGTTATGTATATAATACATACTTAAACAGCTCGGGGCCGTGTGTTACTGGCTGATTATGATGTGACGCGATAACTCCGACATAAGTTTACCAATTTTGAATGTTATATTTAACGAAATAATATACCTGTGTAGTGATTCTAAATTCAATTTCAAGTTGAAGTCGTTCATGTTTTTCTTAAATTTATTCTATTAAAGAAGTTTTTCTAAAAAAAATTAGCTATGCGACGTATAAACATGTTTGTATATCTTAATGAATTAAACATTGTTTAATGTTAAGAAAGTCTACCAAACCAAACGACATAAATAAATTGTAAGCTTAGTTCCCAACTTAGATTCTTTATAAGATTAAATATTTTAGGTTTTTTGAAAACTTATTTAAAATCGTTGAATGAATTTCATTCATATACAAAATGGAGACTGGTAATACCTAAAATAATCATATAATTTATTTACTTCCAAATATGCCTAAATATAAATTAACATAACACAAAATAATTTAGGAGCTAAATGGCGTCTACTCAGCAAAAATGTTGTAGAAACCACAGCGGTAATTACTAGTACAACAATGATTTTCAGTACCCGCCGGAGACATGGGTTCAATGAACTAAACTAATCACGAGCTCCAATATAACAATAAAAACATACACTTAAAGATAAAGTTAAACATTACAGCCCATATACGTCCCATTACTGGGGACAGACCTCACCTCATTTCTGAGAGGGTTATTTGGGGAAGAAAGTGTACGCCACGTTGCCCCAATGCGTCTTGGCGAACTTTACATGTCTTCAAAATTATATTTTTCTTAATGATTTCTTATATTTACGCGAACACTACACATTGAAATAATACTAGTTTTTACGGAATTTATCGCGTATATTTAACTTTTTTAAATACCCGACGTTTCGAACGCTTTACAGCACTCATGGTCACGGGCAGGACTGAGATGTTCAACGTCTACCGATCTACGCAGTATGAACTTATGGTATCTTGAAGTCTTGCAGTTGTATACTTGGGTTGGGATTTAATTTATTATAGGATCCCAAGCACATGGTAGCACCCAGCCATCTTCTCTATTGAAATTAGGATGTTTTTTGATTTGTCTAATAAATAAATTATTTCATAAGATAATAATGCAAATATAGGAAGTAAAATTAAGCACTTACTTAATTTTATAACACACAGACACAGGTTCCCCGGTCGAGCCGACCCATTCGTGCTACAACCATAATATAGCGGTAGTATGACTCTACTACGATTAGGCAGATTGGTGATCGGTTATTGTATTTCAACGAAAAATGTGCTAACAGTCCTTATGATGCCAATTGGCTTATTGTAACCAATGACATCTGACTACAACTTCAAACAAAAAAAGTCCAAAGAGAACTAAGATAAAATGCCTTACAGTCTTTTTTATAGAATAAAGGGCGACAAACGAGCACACAGTTCACCTGATGGTAAATGGATGCTGCGGCCCATCGACGGCGACATCTATCCTCGATTAAGAATCAAAATGTAGATGCGTTGTCAAATCTGAGGACTAAGTACGAATGCCTCATTTCCAGTAAAACGGGTCTCCGGTTCTCTACACTCCCGATGCGAAACACAGCATTAAGCTGCTATTTTACGTTGGTATTCTGTGAGAGCGTGTTCCTTCCCCGGTCGAGCCGATGCGTTTCTGCTAAAACCATAATATAGCTGCAGCCATAGAATTATCCCCCCCGAACGGGTTCCCGCCTTGTCGTGGCGGGGGGGCTTAGTAGCCGTGGCTTGGTCTCCCACGGTGAACAAAGAGGAACCCACGTGGCTGGCCCGAGGTGAAGGGCCGGCCTGAGGTGGCCGCTCCGAGTGGGCTTGGGGAGCCCACTTTGGATGTGTGCTGGTGGACTGCAGCGAGTGGGGACTCGCGCACCCTCTACCGCTGCAGCCGAGGTGGAGTCGCGGAGGAAGAGGAGTGTTGGTATGGCGATGCGCCACTCGCCCTATCCTTCGCGACTCAAACGGGGTCGCACCGTTGATGCGGTGGTGGTGGGGCTGCGGGGGGAGAGGATTGTCGGTATTGCGAGGCGCCGCTCTCCCTACCCTCCGCAGCCGAATCTTGGTTGGCGGCGGAGCCATAGACCAGATCCGCCGCTGGGGTCGGGAAGGCTAGTACTTCTAAGTGCTCGTTTTTCCTGGCCCCATGGCCTTTGTGCATCGGACGCGGGGGCGTCTGTTGCACAGACGTAATTGGAGGCCGTGGAGGAAGGCGCGCCATGTGTTCTGGTGCGCCTTACCTGGGAAGGAGAACGGGGAGGAATTTTCCTCTCCCGAGGAAGTGCTGCCATGGGGCGGCAGGCGCTAGTAGGGCCGCGGATGTGTGCGAAAGCGTTCCCGTAGCCCTGCCAATATGCGACAAAGGTGGAACACTATGGGGTTTTAGTCGGTGCGAGTCCGACATAACCCGTCCTTGCCCCCGCGAGGCGGGTATGCGTAGGCATTTCCCCATGGAAAAAAAAAAAAAGCCATAGAATTATCTCTACGGCTGCAACTTGACTCTACCACGTGTACCAGTTTATGACACATGAACACAGCTGTAGGTGTTTATTTATTTTATTTTTATTGCACCAAAGATTTTGTACAAAAGGCGAGCTTAATGCTTATGACATCCTCCACCAGCTAACCTTGGGTAGAACAGAGAGGTGTTGATTGGGTAATAAAGCGAGGGTGGTGTCAACCCAGACTCGCTTAGCAGAATAATAGCCCTATAGTGACCCTATATTAAAAAATTCTAGATACCATATTTCATAGTCTTGAAAATAAAAACAGAAAAAAATCTTGCAGAAACACAACGATCTCCTACAATGCGCCTGCGTCAAAGGTTCAGTGGACGTCGTCGCATACGCAATAACTCTTGGAGCGAGCGTACAAGGTACGGACGCTGCTGGGGACACGCCACTGGCGCTGGCTGCGCGAGCTGGACACACAGCTGTTGTAGAGTTGCTACTGGAGAAAGGCGCGTGCATCGATGCCATTAACAAGGTAAGACATGCCAAAAATCATTTGTATCTTCTTTATACTTTTCGTTATCGGTCCGTAAGAGTACCTACGTGGCATGATAGCTCAGGGGATAAACGCCTAATGTAAATTTTACAGTACCCTTGTTCGTTCGTTTCGACGGGAACAATGTAAAGAAATAATGATAATTACAAATTTAAATACTGATACCACGTGCTCGGACGGAAACACCGTAAGGAAACATGAAAAATAAAATTAAAAATTTCAAAGTCAAGGGGCAGAGCGGTGGACACTTCCTTGTCCTAAAACCCAACCCTTTTACCCTAAAGCCGGTATAAAGACTTTATACGGGTTTTGGTGTAAAATGGGTTGTACAATGTAGTTTTACATTTACCGTAAATGCTATACGTGGTATAACCATGTTACAGCTATATCATGGTAGTAGGTAGTAGCACGAATGGGTCGGCTTAACCATGGAAGACCACGCTCTCACGGAATATCAGCGTAAAATAGCAGCTCAGTGCTACTGGGTTTCGTATGGCGAGTGTAGAGAACAGGAGACCCTTTTTACTGGAAACAAGGCATTCTATCTTAGTCGTCAGTGGGTGCAACGCATCTGCATTTTGATTCTCAATAGGAGGATAAATGTAGATGTCCTTGAGCCACAGCATCCACTTACCATCCTCACATGTCATCCTTATTATAGATAAAACAAATCAACAGATGGACGTGGACCTTTCCCGTTGCAAGTAAGCTTTCTCACGCATACAAAGATGAAGTCGTGGATTCCCATATGGCTTAGGAACATTTTAAACTTACTAATTAAAAATACTAGTTATTTCACATTGAATTACTAAACTTATTTATTTTTTTATGTCTTTAATTTGAATTACTAATTAAAACCCATTCTCAAGGGAAATTCTAAGTTAACAGAATTATTATCTATAAAATATTGCGTCAGTTCGCGGTTGTGGAGCTCCCTGGAGAATACGAATACTAACAAACCTAATTCGCGTTGAATAATTATTTATTAGCAAACTACATGACAGATTTTATTGAATCTCCTTCCCACCTACGGTTTTATAAGCCTCCCCCAAAGCGCAGTTCTGAGCGCTCTACATATTCCATTAGATCGTCGTGTCATATATAACCTAAAAAGAGTAGACTCTGTATACGGATGTGGTGAGAAGGAAATATTGGAAAGGAATAGAGAGACGCGTAATATTTTGTGGCATCTTTGATTACATAAACAGGACAAATGTGATCTAACTAATCGTGCATTTAATGTAACCTACGACGGTAACTTGATGTAAGAAATTGCCCAACATTACGTTCAAATGTACCAGTCCGCTACTCCAGAAACTTTTCCCCATCTGTTTATTGATTTTATTAATAAATAGTGATATAGTTACATCAATTTTATAAATACTTACTACGAACAAACATAAACTAATAATACCAGACTCCAAGGGGCGATAATTAATTTATGAGATAGTGTCAGAAAAGTTTGTCTATAGCCACGTTGAAATAATTAATTAAACAAAGGTTATCTATACAGGGTAGGAATACATGAATGATAATATCCCCTGGGAAAGGTCGTTACCAAACTATTTCTAATATGATTTGTAAAATCGATTGTAAAATACTTAATAGTATTTTTTTTTAAAGTTACGCTGCGTTTCTTTTTGGGACAGGCGTATTTAATGAAGCATCATTCTACGATGCTTCATTAAACAATATCGTTTTTTAATGCAAGTTTCGATGACATCCTCGATTATAAATAAATATACAGTTGCGCAGATATGCGGTGTTACCCATGAGAAGTAGAATTGAATGAAATGGCTGGTCAGAGATGGCCAGTCTGCGTAGGCTTGGTGAGTTCTCTTCGTATACGTGTTGGTTGACTGCGGCGAGCTTGGTTGACTAATGAGAAAGAAAAGTGTTGATATGAGGGAGCGCTACAACCCTGAACGAATCTGGCGCAGCCGAACCGCTGACACGATGGTGATGAGGCCGCAGTGCAGGATGTGTTGATATTACGATGCGCAGGTCTTCCTATCTTCCGCGACCTAAACGTGGTTTCCGGTGAAGCCATAGACCAGATTCTGCCGAAGGAGTCAGAAAAGCTGGTGCTTTCGAGTGCTCATTTTTTCGGACACATTGCCTCTACGTTTCAGACTCGGAGGGATCAGTTTCGCAGGTAGAGTTAGAGGCCGCTGAGGAAGACGCTCCTAGTATTCTGATAGACCTTACTTCATAAGGAAAAGGGGAAAGGTGTTGTTCTCACCCGAGATGGACCTGGCATGGTACAGCAACAATGGCTTTGGCAATAGGCTGCGAATGTGAAACACTATGAGGTTTTAGTCGCTGCGATTCGCGATTCCGCCAAAGTCTGCCCTTGCCCCTATTAAGAGAGTATGTGCCCCATGTAAAAAAAAAGGTTGAAATGCCTTGTCAAAAGACATTATCCTTACAGTACTATTTTACCTTGAAATTCTTGGAGACGTGCTCCTTCTTCTGTCTGCTTTATTGAAACTATATCCAATGATGATCAAAATTGACTCTTACAAATCGCTTATTGCTCTTCAGTATTTTTCGACCGTTTTTAAATTCTACTATTTTTAAATTATTCTAAAGTAGAGACAGACTTTATTGATCTTACTGCTGACATGAATCAGTTCACTCCATCCATGCCCTGCATATTAATGAAACTATAAAAATACATTTATCATCAAAACACGACAACCATCACTATCAATAATTATCAACATACGATGATTCCTGGGATGATTTAAGGGTACCACTACTCTGTGGGTAGGGCCTATTGCCCTGGGGCAAGAATTTCAGACGAAACTAACATTTTTTCAAAAACCCTTCTTTAATTCCCATGAAGACTATAAAAATATGAATGGTTAAATAGTCTATGACTATAAAAAGTTTTTAACAAAAAAAATTAAACCGCCGTCCGGGGTAAATATTCGAATAAAACGAATATTCGAATACTGAGCCCTAGCACCGACTCAAAATTAGGAATACTTACATTACTTTAAGAACTTAGTTATTAAGGTTAATTTAAAACTCAAAATAATTACGAAAATATATACTTAGGTACATTTACATTAGTTTAAGAACTTAGTTATTGGGGTTTATTATTTTTTCCTTTTCAGTTTTTTCGGCGTTTTAATTTTTTGTTAAAAACCTTTCATTTCATACAAAAAAAGAAATTAAGACCAGGCCCCCCTTTCAATGACCAAAAATTTTTTTCTTATTCCTCAGACATGCAGGTTTCCTCACGATGTTCCTTCCAAAAATAAATTCATCGGGGATCGAACGTTACTTTCTGTTATATTTACAGGAGCGTTAACCATCTGAGCTACCACGGCTCATTTTTTGGCTATTATCTACTAATTACTACATGCTTAATTTTTGTTTTATTTTATAGCTACTTACCTTACTTTAGCTGTTAACTGTTATATAATCCTACTTTAACCATTATTTGTTAAAAGCTGTAATCGAAGTCGGAAAGAAAGTGTTTTCCAAAATGCAGGCATATGTGGTACTGAATAGAGTAAAAACACTTGAGAGTATTGCTTTACCTGATCTAGAGCAAAATAAGGTATTACACAAACCTCACGATGAACGAGCTTAATCAGAAATGCAGAGACTGAGAGGTCTACACACAAGAGACTGACAGGTCTAAAGTTCATTCATCGTGAGTTTTTTTTGTAATGTAATTATTATGTAATGTTATACAAAATCTATGAGTAAACAATATTTTACTCACAGATTTTAATGTGATGCACCCCTATTTTCCCATCCTTAGGGTAATTTTTTTCCAAACTTATAAGGGACCAATTTCGAGCTAATATCCTATCCAATATAAAAAGAATTATCAAATTCGGGCTACTCTGTAAGAAATCACCCCTATTATCCCACCCTTAGGGTAAAAACTTTTTTCTAAATTTATATGGGACCTTGTTAGATGTGTACTCTATCCAATCAAAAATGAATTATCAAACTCGGTCTACTCTGTAATAAATCATCCCTATTTTACCACCCTCAGGGTAAACATTTTTTTACCCTGAGGGTGGTGATGGTGGTGGTTACCAATTTCGAGGTATAAACTTTTATTACCCAGAAAAAGTGCGTTAGAATACTAGCCCAGATAGATAACACTACTAGCTGTAGACCGTATTTCAAACAACTAATTATTCTTACCTTACCCTGTATGTACATTTATGATCTATGCCTGTTTGTCCACAAAAATAATAATAGTTTTAAGAAAATTAAAGATACGCATAACTTAAATACACGTAACAAAAATAAATTATACCTACCACAGTCGCGAACAAAAATGTTAAATACAAGCCCCTACTATATGGCAATAAAAGTATATAATAAATTACCACAGGAAATAAAAAATATATCAGAATTAACCAAATTTAAATCAAGACTCGGTAAATATTTAAAACAAAACCCCTTCTACTCAGCAGAAGAGTATTTAGATAAAAAATAACACTATTATATATTTTTATATCTTTTTATAGCTTTTAATTTTATTTTATGTTATGTATGTTAATAGTATATAAGCAGTGCCCTTGTCAAATTTGCAGTGCCTGAAAAGGGCATCTAAGTTGTAAGCACATTTTTAATTTAATACCAATTATGTACACTTAGATTGCAAATAAATGATTTGAATTTGAATTTGAAACAATCCATTAAAAAAAGAATTATCAAAATCGGACTACTCTGTAAGAAGTTATACGTGGTCAAACATAAAAAAATATACGCGTCGACTTGAGTACCTCCTCCATTTTTTCGTCGGTTGATAATGGTTTTTTTATCCTTAAGGGGATATATAATCTCAAATGGCTTAACAAGATCCTTCGTTATGCCGAAAATATTGCAGCATTAATTTTGAAATAAATATATGGTAAAGTTGAGGATTAAAGTTAAGGATTATGTTAGGCGAAAACACGATTTCGTAAAATTTTCTCGATAGAAAAAAAATCCAAAATTACCTC